TTGATTAGGGTGGCTGCTTGTCTTTATTATCCAGTCATTTTAGATTAGGGACAAAAATGTTTGTGGTTTCTTTGATGATTGAAATGGTGCAAAAATAATGTGGCATCTGCACTATTTGCTTTACAAATGCAAAATAGATTAATAAATTAAAATTAGGAGCTCACTGGAAAAAACTAATTTATAAAAAATAAATTGCATTTGTTTTTTCACCAGCAGAGGTCAAAATCACACCACAATCTACATCAGAGATGCCCTAAGTGGGGCCAACGGGCCAAACTAGGCTCATTGTAACCTTTGATTTGGTAGAAGGTTGGGGTGAATGCAAATGTCATGTCTAATTTGACGTAAAAAAATTTTGTTTGATTTGTTCTATTGCTAAGCTACAAAAAAGCAAACTGAAATTAAATGTTGTAAGTAAATGAATCTAATTTTGTAAAATGTAAATACTGTCACTCGATGGATAGAGGACTGTGTGCATAAGACATCGCTGGGAAAATCAAGGGAAAACAAGTGTAATGCTCAGGGTTTTTACGGGTGCTGGAAATCCTGGAAAATGCTTGATTTTTAATATAGTGTTTTCAAGGTTATAAAAGTGCTTGGATTTTGGACAAAGTGCTTGAACCTGCTTGAATTTAAATTTGCAGGGCTCGAAATTGTGACTGTTTTGGTTGCAAATGCGCACAATATATTTAGGAGCATAAATGCGAGTGCATAAATTGTTGTCGTGCGACCAGTTTTCATTGCGAAATAATCACTGCATGTGCGTATTTATGGAGCTAATAATAAGCCAAAGCACTCTGAATTTGAATTGTGTTAAATTGAATTATTAACAAATGTAAGTGAATAATACTGATTATGTCCTACTAGAAACGTTTTGAATTTGTATTTCTTAACTTGATTATTGAACATCTGAAATTTAAGACAACTTAATTTTTTAAGTCAGATTTTTATAGACGTATTTTTAAACTTCAGATTTTTTTTTGGTTCTGTATTCAGAGACTGCAGATGTTGGGTATGTTAAAAATACAGTTTTAAGTTGTTAAGAATTCAAATTAACAATTCAAATTCAGATTGTTTTGGCACTATTAGGTTATACGTATTTGGGAGACATTCACCCAGAATGCATCTTTGCACCTGAAACGCCAATCCAATGACTGTTAAAGATTAAATAAATAAATAGCCATGCACATGAAATGTCATGAAAGTTTGGTACACCCAAACGAAATCTGACTGTAAGCTAATTTCTTGATATATCAACTTTAGGTAGAAAGAGACCAAGCTTAAAAACATACTTCATCCAATAACTGAACTTGGAAAAAAATATTTTTAATCACTTTTGGGTGAATTATCCCAATAAATCTTTGCTCTAAAGTACTCAACAATTTAAGATGAAATGTCATATTCTGTTTTTTTTTTTTTTATATCACAATTAAAATGTGGAAAAGTATATACAACATGTATAAACATAATTAACTGTGGTTATTAGGTGCTGGAAAAACATACAAATGCACCTTAAAAGTGCTTGAAAGTGCTGGAATTTGAAGTTGGAAAAGGTGTAAGAACCCTGAATTTTGTTATAAATTATATATATATATATATATATATATATATATATATATATAGTCTTAGGAGAGAACCCCAGACTTCCCTATCCCCAGAAACTTCCTCCAGCTCCTCCGGGGGGATCCTGAGGCGTTCCCAGGCCAGCTGAGAGACATAGTCTCTCCAGAGTGTCCTGGGTCTTCCCTGAGGCCCCTGACATGCCTGGAACACCTCCCTAGGTAGGCGTCCAGGAGGCATCCGAAACAGATGCCCGAGCCACCTCAGCTGATTACTCTCAATGTGGAGGAGCAGCGGCTCTTCTCCGAGCTCCTCCCGGGTGTCAGAGCTCCTCACCCTAGGGTGCGCCCTGCCACCTTTCGAAGGAAACTCGTTTCGGCCGCTTATATCCGAAATCTTGCCCTTTCGATCATAACCCAAAGCTCATGACCATAGGTGAGAGTAGAAACGTAGATTGACTGGTAAATCCAGAGCTTTGCCTTTCACCTCAGCTCCTCCTTCACCACAACAGACCGGTAGATCGACCGCATACATTATATGAGAGACTTGCTTTGTTTACCAAATAAAGTGAATCTAATTGTATTTGCATTTAAACTTTAAATAAAAGTTTAAAAGATGTTATTTTTTATTTCACATTTTAAGGTTTTAGTTATACTCCAAAATAATTCCGCAGAAATCCACAGATTTTCCCAAAAATCCCATCAAAAATAGCAAAAAACATCTGCAGATTCCGTCTGGCCCTACTTATGGCAACTGTACTGTATATCCCTCTGGCCCAGTAGCCTCAGTCAAGTTTGATATTTGGCCCTTCATAAGAAAGAGTCTGGGCACCCCTGATCTAGATGGGTCAAGTGCTCCCATCCATTTATCTTGTTTATTTTTTAATGTGCAAATTAGATTATGGCTAACACTTTACACTTCATATCAATTGTGTCCTTAATTTGGTTAGTTATAAATGCATTGCTTTCCATTGTGGCCACATAACCACCTCAGACAGGTTGTTGCAATAAGGGATGAGCTGCATCCAGATGTTAATAAGAATTATTTATAGTATTTATTAAACTGCTCCTTAATTGTATTGTAAAACAGTACAGTACAGTATTATTCATATTATTTATTAAATTACCCATCAAATTATATTTTATTAACGCCTGCCCTTCACAGTAATGTAACTGGCCATTGTATTATTAAGAATTAAGGCACATCTGAGGGGTAAAGCTAAGATGGGAGACAGCTGCACGTACATTAATATAGCATAATTTTTGTGATGCTATACAGCAGTGGTTCTCAAAGTGGGGGTCGGGACCCCCCGAGGGGTCGCGGGGCAATGAAGGGGGGTCGCCTGGTGATTTCCAAAAATCTATTTATTTTTATTAAAACATAAGAATTAACATATTTTATCCATAACTATACTGAAAATAAAAATAGTAGTTTATAGTTACTATATACTATATAGTTACTATAGTAGCTTATAGTTACTAGTTCTATTGGATTGCGACCCCTGGGGTAATTACATTATATTAAAGGCAGCAATAGCGTCAGATGCATTTTGATTTTATAACATCAGGTTATACTTTCTGGCAAATTTAAAGCACTGACACAAATTTAATTGGTGTGTCTGCGTCATTGCATGCAAGGTTTCTGTATTTATAACCACCTCAGAGGATATTGGGGCTCGCGAGTCACTGGCATTGTTATTTTGGGGGTCGCGGACTGAAAAGTTTGGGAACCCCTGCTATACAACACAGGTGCAGGTGTCAAATCCAGTTTCTGGAGGGCCGCAGCTCTGCACAGTTTAGTTCCAACCCTAATTAAACACACTTACCTGTAGGCTTCAAACAAGCCTGAAGGACTTGGTTAGTTTGATCAGGTGTGTTTAATTAGGGTTAAAGCTAAACTGTGCAGAGCTGCGGCCCTCCAGGAACTGGATTTGACACCTGCACCTGTGTTGTATAGCACCACAAAAAATTATGCTATATTAATGTATGTGCAGCTGTCTCTCATCTAAGCTTTACCCCTCAGATGTGCCTTAATTCCTAATAATACAATGGCCAGTCATCAGTTATTCTTTAAATAAGCAGTACTTTTAAAACTTTCTATTAAAACCTTTATAATGTCAGTCAGTATAAATGTAACTTTTTTTTAAATGTCAAATTCAGTCAATTAAATTATACTGTTATAGTTTTTTTTTCAACTATAAATGTTTAACTAACAATAATAAATGCTATATATAATAGTTCTCACTGTATTTCCATGTTAATATAACTTACAGTATAGTGTTACTTATAAAATAAAAGCTTTTATTATAATTATTTAATATGACAGCACCTTAAAAGTAGTTCATCATGGCTATACTATGTGATTATTATATAGCTCTGTTTACAAACAAGCTGAAACTTACGCATGATTCAGTAAACAACACCAGATCAGAAATCTAATCTCAGTCTGGCCAAATACGTTTTACACAGTAGTTTTATTTTGCAATTGTGCCTTTTTTAATGCAACATTCTTCCAAACATCTCTATTTGTGATCCACATAAGATACGACATCATCCAGGTGTTGAAGGCCACGAGGGTGAGTGTTAAACGAGCGTTACTGTCCCTTTAAGAAGTCGTGCTTCTGGCTCTGGTTCACTGTGTACTAATGAATGGGTGGATGTGTTTATGTATCATGGGTTATTATTATCAAAGCATGACTAACTGTTTATCTTTGCCCAGTTCGCTTTTTTCTCTCTCACGTTGTCAAATTGAGTCCTGTAGTAGGCCTACTGCATGTACTAGATTCCTTCTGCAAATCTGAAGTAAACATTTAACACGTATTTACACCATAATAGTTACTGTTAGGCTAGTGTTTGCACCAGTAGGGTATTTGCCGAAGCACGCTAAGAGGATTTTTAATTTGCCAGTAACCTGGGTTAATCGTTTCCGGTGAACTTAATGCAAATCCGGCGCGTTTAAGGTCTGTTTTCTTTAAAAATCAGCGATCCCCACTGGCTGAGTGATATCCAATATGAAGTGGGTCTCAGATTGTACAAGAAGCACTGTATTAAATAACATTTTAATTTTCCCAGCCTTGTCTTTATGATAGGAGCATTTTTTCACCCCAGTATATTCAATGGAGCTTCTGCGCCTGACTGCCGATTCTGACGGGCGCGCGCGAGCAAACGGCTTTTCGTCTTGTTTTACCCTGCTGAAAAATCCAGCTTAAACCAGCCTAAGCTGGTTGGCTGGTTTTAGCTGGTCAACCAGGCTGGTTTTAGAGGGGGTTTGGCCATTTCCAGCCTGGTCTTAGCTGGTCAGGCTGGAAAATGACCAGCCAAATCCAGCTAAAACCAGCTTGCCCAGTCTGGTTTAAGCTGGATATAGCTGGTTTTGGCTGGATTACCAGCTTGGCTAGGCTGGTCAAGCTGGTTTTAGCTGGTCAACCAGCTAAAACCAGC